TGGGCGGGGCGGCGGGGGGCGAGGGGCCCGCGAACGCCTAAGGCGGTGGGCGACGAAAAAAGGAAACGAAAGAAAGGAACGAAAGCGGGCGGTGGGGCGGCGGGCAGGGGGCGGCGAAAAAAAGAAACGAAAGAATGGAAAGAAAGCGGGTAGGCCTGGCCCGGGCGGCAGGGAACGCCTAAGGGGATGGCCGACGACAAAAAGAAACGAAAGAAAGCAACGAAAGCGGGTGGGCCCTGGCCCGGACGGCAGCGAACGCCTCAGGGGATGGCCGACGAAAAAAGGAAACGAAAGAAAGGAACGAAAGCGGGTGTAGGCTTGCTGATGGATCTTATAAGTAGATTTATTACTTTACGTCAGAAGCAGCGAACACAAGCCTCCGAAGAAGTCGATCATCGCTGCCCTGGTCCTCAGCGAAAGAAAGGGTCCCGCGAGGAAATTCCTCTGCCTTCGCCGAAAGATAGCCCCCCCATTGCCATATACTCCTAGGCGGGGGTCTTTGTGCCACTTCAGCAACCCTAAGGCGGAGTGGCTGGCGTATGGCGGCGGCGGTGGCGACGGCGGCGACGGTGGCGGCGGCAACGGTGGGGGGCGGCGTGGCAGCAGACGCGGAGGGACGCGATGTAGAGCTTGGCCTTCTTGGCAAGCCGCGGCGTGGACAGCAGCGTAGTGAGGCGCGGGGCGGCCACGTCGAGCTCTGCGGCGCCCACGTAGCCCGCCAGTGCCGCCGGCACCTCGACACCCCCCACGCGGTCGCAGCACACGTAGCTGCCGCCGCCAGGCCGGCCAGAGCGAGGGCAGGAGCGCGAGGGCGCTCAAGCTCTCATAGTGACGCGTGTTGACGTCCCCAGCCAGCCTCCAAGCTGCAGGGCGGCCTTCATGCATAACGGGGCGGCGGGGCGCGGCGCGGCGCGGCGCGGCAGGGCACGGTGCATGTGGTTGGGGTGGAGGGAGCGGAGGATTGGCCCAGCCTAGCTGCTCGTACAATGCACTGGATTCTGGCTACTGCCAGCGTGCTAAAGGCTAGCCAGCCAAAGGCACCATGCCCCGACCGCCTTTCTGGTCTCCCACCTGGTGCGTGGCGCCAGAGCACTCAGCGTGGGAGGGCCCCCCGGCGCGCAGGAGCTTCAGCCTGCGGTGCAAGAGGAAGCGGCAAATCAATGGGCCCCTGCCTTTGCAGCTCCGCGCCCCATGACCTGCCCCATGCCCTGCCTGCCCAAGGCACCCCTCACTCACTGCTGCCCGACTTGACCATAACAAACCTGCCGCGTGCCGCCTGGAATTATGCCTCCGCACTCCGCGCGGTGGCGTCCGCGGCGCGCTCGAGCCCGCTGCAAACAAGCAAGTGGCTTTAGGTGGCAGCTGGGCAGGTGGCCGTTGAACAAGGGACTGCGCCCGCAGCAAGGCAAGCCCGGCGCCCACCCAAGGTCTGGGTCAGGCAGGCACCCGCAGTGGCGCGCTATAAGGCACCCGGGAAGCGCCGCGAGTTGCCCGCCAGCACCGCCGTGATTTGCTCCGAACGCGATGCGAACTTCCGAGGCGTTGGGCCGTTGGCTTTAGCCACGGTCGGGCCCAGGCTCGGCTTCTACTGGCGGCCACCTGCAAAGGGCGCCTGCCTACGGGAAGGTCGGCGTTGGACGCACGCGGTGATCGATTGGCGGCGGGGTCGCGAACTTGCGCGGTACGGTCTGCTCTTCTGGCAACGCCGGTTTCTGCGCTCCTGGCGCGCATTCGCGCGCCCAGTGTGCGCAGACGACAAGCATGACAGCTACACGTGACTTTGATGCCCACAGTGTGCCAGGAGCCCCGCTGGCGCCCAGCGGTGCAGGCGCGACCACAAGCGCAGCCTTGCGCTGGTTGAGGGACACATGCGGACCACCAGCGCGATACCGGTCGTGAGTGGGCAGCCGTTGCGCTCGCAATTCCCGATCTGGCATGGCCGACCTTGATTCGCCGTGTTGCGTTTGATACAAAGCATTTGTCCAACTCCCCGTTTGTCACTGAGGGCCCCTCAGGAATTACGTACAGGTACGTACCTGTACGTACTTCTTTTCATGAAGAGGGCGCAAACACCGCGCCTCGCCTCACCTCAAAGACTCTACACATGCTGAAGATGCTCGCCCGGGCGCCGTTGGGGTGGGCCCCAGGGCCCCAGCGCCTCGTGCCTCCCACACCCTGCGCCGCGCGCCACTGCCTGCGGCGCCAGGCGCTGCGGCTGCGCCAGTCGTGCCTGCTCGCCCCCTGCGCCGCCGCAGCTCTGCAGCGCACCGAGCAGGTGGGTGTTTTTGCACAGCAAGTGGCAGCGCTGTGCATGGTGGGAGCATGCGTCATCCCCACAGCAGGCCTGCGCTTTATGGCGCCGGGACCCCTCCGCCCCCGACAAACCCATCCCGCGCGGCCCCCAACAAGTAGGCTGGTGGCGGTGATGGCGGCGGTAGTGGCACACCCAAACGCCCCCACAGCAGCGGCGGAGACGACAACGCGCCGGACCCCTTCAACCTGGTAGGTTCTCCGTGGCACGATGCTCTGTGGTGACGGTGTTGGTGCGCCTGCAGGGGCCCTGGGCTCAAACACACGATTGCTTGACACTCGGCAAGCATGCGGCCGCGGGAGCACTGAACGCGCTTGATGATTCAATAGCAGCGTCCCTTGAGAGGCCTCCTCCAACGAGCGTGCCCTGCCTGCACACCACAGGGGAGGACCACGGTGCGAGCGTTCGCCGACAACTTTCTGCGCCTGGGTGGCGGTGCCTGGCTGCTGCTTCAGATCACCAAGACGTGGGTTGACCTCAGCCACTTGCTGGCGAGGACGGCGGGCCTGGACCAGGCCACAGCGCCGCTGCGGGACGAACTCAAGGCTTCTTCGTCGCAGCTGCGGGCCGACATCGCGGCGTCTTCGACGCAGCTGCGGGCCGACATGGCGGCATATTCAACGCAGCTGCGGGCCGACATGGCGGCGTCTTCGACGCAGCTGCGGGCCGACATGACGGTGCTTGGCAACAAGGTGGAGAGGCTCCAAGTGGTGGTGGTGGGCGTGGCGGTGTTGGGCGCCTGGCTGGGCCGCAAGCCGGGCGCTGGGCGCGGCGCTAAATAGGCGCCGTGCCCCATCTTTGCGGGCGCCCGGGCCGGCACCTGCGCGGGCGCGGCAGCAGCAGGGGGTGCCGCCGTCGCAGCCCCCGCAGCGGCTGCCGCCGCCGCGGCGCACTCCTGCTCGTGCTGAGAGAGAGAGAGAGAGAGAGAGAGACAGAGACAGAGAGAGAGAGAGAGAGAGAGAGAGAGAGAGAGAGAGAGAGAGAGAGAGAGAGAGAGAG